CTCTCTGCAGTAAGGACTAACACTGAAACTAATCATCAGCCTTAAACATGTCAAACTGGGCAGAAGATTTTGAAGGCTTACATAATCAACTTAACGGCCTCTGACTTCTTGGTGCTTTTTTTATCTACCATTATGTGAAAAGTCATGGTTATTTTTCACCCTTGGTGATGAGAAAAAAAAGAAAAATCCAGCATTCTTAGAAAAAAAAGCAGCAGAATATGTCAGCACTAGACTGGGAATAACAGTCTGGATAGATTAGATTTATTTCAAGATGACTATATAAGCTTTAGAGGAAAAGATGTTCCCTTTTAAAGAAAAAAAACATCTGAGTTCAGCTCTTGCTCTTTGTGGATGGTATCTCAGAGTCCTTCTAAACTTTATGAAAGCTGGTGCCCCCAAAGCACAAGACGTGATATATTATGGCCTTTCACGTCTCAGTTAAGTCTGTCTCATAACTCAGAAGGCATCCTTTTCTTTCCTTAGTGTATTACTCGTATAGTTAAGAATAACACTCACAAAAAAAAAAAACTGTGGTTTCCACACGACAGTCAGTTCTAGGGTCACTTCTGGGGTCAAATAGCCCTTTACCAAGAAAATCTATCAGGGCATATAATATGAAGCTGACCTAAGTCAGACTGTTATGTAAGCGATATGTTGTAACACTTAGTTTGAACCTTATGGTGAGCTCAACTGCAGGGAATCATAACACATATACATTTGGACTAGGCTTCTGGTTTTCCTTAAGACAACATAAGCTCAAATTTAGCGATCTCACGAAGGGGAGCCGGAGAGTATGGTGTGTAAATGAACGAGCGAGGAGTGGATTATGCAGTGTGTTTGAGAAATTCCTTAAGGTTCTTTGTTTCTTTACTCTTCTCTTTCCACCATGAAACTTGTCACCAAAGGAATCCTTTTAAACAGAATGAATCCAAGCTGCTCGGCTCTGTCTGTCAGGCAACTACAAACGTGCAACAGCTGACTTTCAAGCCTGCATGTGCCACAGTCTCATGCACGGAAGATAAATTTGGGTAAAGCATGCTCATTTATTTTCTTTTGTTCTTGGGTCCTGCAGAGATGCACCGACAGCTGCAGATTCTTCAACTTATAGCTTCGTACACTAAAACCGTTATTTTGACTAAATTCCAGGGTGCGATAGGAATGGCAGAATGAAGAATCCGTGTGATGTTTTGAGATGAAACCTCAAATGCAATTTTAAGAAGAAATGTATTAGTTATTTTAGCCCATTAAAGTGGGGGAGGGGGCAGAATGAGGCCTTTAAAGAGCAGTCTCAGGCCTGCAGTATTTAATTTCACATTAGATGGTAAATTGGAGAATTCAAAGCTTTATTTATTCTGACAGACACCACTGAGATAACAGTAGTGCAGGAGAAAATGTGAATTTGATATATAATTACACATAGGGTGGACAAAAAACTGAAATTTTAACTTTTTCTTCTGAGTTTCTAATTTTTACCAAAACTGTTTGACATCAATATGTTTTTATAGTGTGCTCAAAAAAGCTGCCAAAAGAGTTGGTGGTGTTTACAAGATTTTCCTTAATTTATTGCAATAGTGATTCCAAATAAAGTTAGGATGCTGTGCTAATATTCTTTAAATTCATGCGGCATGCTGCATAGGGATCCTTCAGCCCATTTCAGTGAAAACAAAGAAGACTGTTGAGTAGCAAAAACCCTTTACCAGACAAAAATAGGATAGGAAGATGCAGGAATAGGTCTGCTCAGTTCCCAGGCATTTGCAATATGTGGTCAAAAGAAGAAGAGATTATACATTGGGAAAAATCAACATTTTTTAGACGTGTTGCCATGTTCTTTTCTGTGTAAAAGGTTCGCTAATGACTTTTAAACAGGTTAGGATTCTGTTTTCATCACACTTCACGTGCATCCAAACCTTTATAAAGTTAGTATATTTAAAATCTTGTCATTACACTGATTGTCAGATGTGCTGAAATTGGTAGAAGGAAGCTGTATTTGACACTTAAATCTCTACTCATGTACAAACTACAGTCATTTGTCAGGGTTCAGTGGCTGGCCTCTATTGCAGTGGTGATCTAAAGGGGCTGAAATATGGAGCTTGTCTAAACATGATGGACAACAACCCATATGTCAACACACCACAGATGGATGGGGAGTTGTCCTTGGAGAAGGATTGCAATCTTTGGTATGCGTTTCTACATCGCATATTCCACAGTAGTCTTCAAACAAGTGTCTAATGAACGAGCTAATGTAAACTGCCCAAAGATAGGCCCTCCCCAGAGTGCTTTGCATCTCTTGCAGTCTCTTTCTTCATCTCCTCTGCCTTTACTTTCATCCACCCTCGTTTTCGAGACAGTCCCATAAACTAACATGCTCTTTCCCTCATTTCACGCCGGCTCTTTTCCCTCTTTTACCTTTGAAATCGCACAATTTTATACTTTTGTTCTTTTTCACACTGTAATGTATTGAGTTTATTGTAAAAAGCCATCTGTGTTAACTCTTTAAAGCCTGATCCAAGAAAAAAATGTATTCATTCTTTCTTTGTTTGAAGTCTTTTTTTGGCCCTTTAAGCAAAAATGAAAAAAACACAAACCATTTCTAAATATTCATCATTTATGACAATGCAGTGAGTCAAAATTATTGTCAAGTAGTCTTCTGCCTGCTGTTATCAGATATATCTGATTGTGATTTTACCATTAAATTATGAAAAATGTCTCAAATGCAAAACGTTTCAGAAACCGTGTGTATCAAATATGACACATATGGCTTTAAAGGGTTAATTGGCGATTCACCACCTCTATGTAACTCAGTGGAATTTCCTACTGAAGTCCTGCTCTTCTCCATGGACGTATGTGCTCCTTTACACATCTTATGGAGTTTGTTCTTGTTTAGATGCTGTAACACATGTAAAGACAGTTTAAGTTTTTTGGGGAGGTGGTTGGACAGAAATGAAGACGGAAAACCTTCGTCTGATATGTGGCAGGGAGCGGGACTAGCTCTGTTGGGAAACTGCTTGACCTCCTCACAGCTACTGAGCTGTGCACACACAAACAAAATAACACCGAAGCTGGAAGGCTGAGCACAAATATTAATTCACAAAGGCAAGCAAATAGAGCAACATAACTAACATACCTCACTTGGGGATTGATTAAACATAATTTCCTCTCCAGTAAATGTGGAAAAAGTGATATCCTGTTTAAAATGAATGAAGATTAGACCAAATACTTACTTAGGCTACATTTTTGAGATGATGATTTCCAGAAATGTGTGCTGAAAATGAATCTACTGTCATCTGGAGCATGTAATTGTTGGTGGAAACGCAGATGGATTTACATCCGCAGCAACACAAACCCAGATGAGTGGAACCGAGTAAGAAATGGCATGGTGAACATCAAGTACGCAAAAATAAAAACAAAAGTTCGTAGAGCCAAAATAAACATGGACAAGGACATTCTGCAAGCTGCTGGGTTTTCTTTTCACCTCCTGGTTAAGTCCCAATCAATTTATCTGTGCTGAGCCCTTGAATGTGTTTTTTCTTTTCTTTCTTTTTTATCTCCAGCAAGGACAAGGCTGCATAAATCATTTGGAGAATAAATGCTGACACAATATCTGTGGTTGGAACGCATTTCAATACAACCTGATGAGCTAAAATGGAAATAAAGGGCAGATTTTCGTCTCATAGGAGCAGCGCTGGCTCTGATTTGTCTCGTCTTTATAGCTGTCGGTGCTCTTGTTTTGCGGAAATAAATGAAGGTTTCCAAGCTCATCGTGTTAAGATGCTAAATCTAAAAACAAAATTAAGTTTGGGGATGCATGCATGCTGAGGAATGAATGGGTGTCGGGAAAGATTGCAGACCTTTTCACCATGATGACATTCACTGTGATCTGCCCCCCCCCCCCCCCCCCCAAGACGGATCAAATACAGTTAAAACTGACATTCCACTCTAGAAAACAAAGATTGACCGAGGTCAGATCACTGTTTGAGCATTGCTATCATTCCATTAGGACTCCCTCTTGGGTCGGTGTACGTCTAAAATGCGTTGCATACCTGACGATGCCGTGTGTTTGAATGTGCTCACACATGTGATGGCTGCCCTACACGTGTGTAACTCAGGAAGTGTGCTGCTCGAATCCGGCGTGCTCGAAAGAAACCGCAGGGTCAACAGCATCGAGAGGCCGTCAGTCCATGTGCTGCTGTGTCGGGGGGGGGGGGGGGGGAGGGGTTGTGGGGCAGAGAAAATGTACTTTCCCCCCTTTGCTTGTTTGTCTGCTGCACAGGAACAGAACTCTGTGACTTCCCCATGAACTATTCAGCAGCACCCCAACCCCTGTGTTTGTATGCATATGAGGACACGACACACAGGACGTGGCTTGGAAAACACTCCGGCCCAGGAAGGAAGCCGGTGGGCCGGGGAGTCGCCTTTTTGGGGAGTGAAGGATCTGGAGGTCACTTGAGACAAGATTGTTAAATTCAACACCCGGCAGATGAGAATTATGTGGAAGAACGAGCAGAATCTTAAAGCAAACAGGCGCTCGCTGAGAATGTTTAAACATTTGTCTCTGGAGGTCATCAATCATATTTAGCCGAAAAACAAAGTTGTCAGTGGTAACTGCCGGACGATAAATCACCGCGGCAACTACCATGACAACTCACTTTCTGACTGGTCTAATCACCCCAAAATGGAATAAGACGATCAGGCTCGGGGAAGACGACATAAGCCTGCTACCGAGCTCAGGGTGACAGTGCTAACATGCAGATGCTCGGCAGATGTTATGGAGATCATGCCTCCCGTTGGCATGGAAACATTCGCTAATTACCAATACACAAGGGCGCAGCCGAGGCAGATGGGAATGCCATCAGTTTTTTCAGGTATCTGTCCATAAATCAGAAGTTTGACCTGATGGTGGCCCCCTCGTGAGAGGGTCAGCCTCCCCCATAGCCAGTGGGATTCATTCCCCGGGGTCTTGACATGTTTGTGTGGTGGATTTCATGGAAAGTAGTCCCATATTCTCACAGCTACTTCGGTATGAGGCACGAAGATGGATCAACTGATGTTTCAACTGGTTCTTGGTTGTTTACATGCTGCCACCTAGTGTTAGTTTAGAAATCTATTGCTTTAGCCACACAACCTGGACTCAAGACAATGCCCCATCCAGCACAGAAGATGTTTAATGGCATGTTTAATGCAAGGTTTTTTATTGTTATCCCTTGAGGAAATGTGTCCTGTGCAAAACTTTGTTTCACATAATCCAACAGAATGAGCAACATCTGCCGCTGAGTTCCAAACGCGAACGTCTGCCTTTAACCTGCACGCGGGGTCTCATTTGATCGGCAGCTCAACAGTGTTTGTGTTTGGTCATTATCTTTAAGGCCACTGGGAGAAAACACAAAGGTAGAGCCAACAAAGAGACTACACACATACACACACACAAACCTACAGTGAGTCTAATCAAAGCTTTAGAACGAATTCAGAAAATATATACATCTTACAGAATAACCTTAGTTAATCAAAGACATTATTGTATTTACGTGGATTGGGTTACCTTCAAAACCGCTTTCCCTGGCAGAAAAGTAAACATTTTTTTAAAAGTCACACAACCTATTTTAAACAGAATACCCTGATTGCTCTTGGCCCAGAGAATGTTAGCATGTATGCAGTCCAGATTGTGAGAATTTGAAGAGTCGCACATCCTGTGTAGCTCGTCTACATTACAGCGCAAAGAGTCCACTTTAATTCGCAGCTTCAGAGTAATGTGAGAAACAATGTGGGCAGAGCTCACGTGTGGAGAAGTGACTTCAGTCATGTTAAAGACTAAATGCTTTTTAACTCGGCTGATGGGACAAGAGAAGTGGACGAGAAAGCCCGAAAGCGCCAAACACGCACCGATGGGGTCCATTCCGATGGGACGGATTTTTAACAAATCCTCTTTATTGCTACATGGCAAGTCAAGCCCCCCCCCTCCATGCAGGATGCAGATCCTTGTCAAGTTAGATTCTCAGAGATTTTCCTCGCGTGGCTGAGTCAGTCACCTGATCTCAATCCAGTTTAGCTTTAATCCACTTCCTGAGCTTGAGGCTGATTGAGACCCCACTACAAGCAAAAGCTGAAAGAGAGTGGTGGAGAGTGTGTGTGGGGTGGGGGGCGTCTCTGCGTGAGCACAGAGTGACTTCAGGAAAAATATCACCATGTCTGTCCAACTGTTTCTCAAACTATGGGCTCCGTTTGTTAGCAGAGACTCTTGCTTCCACACAGCTGCTTCCTGCTATGCAAGTTTAATGTTGCATACATTAAATCTTGAGCAGGTGAAAAAATGTAACGCTCCAAATACTCAGAATCTGGATTATACATAACGCATCGCCCCGGCCACAGCAGAAATGTCGAACAGTCATTAAGCCTCGTGATAAAAAAGGTTCTCCTGATGGAGATGCGTGGTAGTTTGTTCTGGTTCCCTGCTGTGGAGTCAGTCCCGGGTCTTATAATGATGTCTCCTTAGAATCGGGTAAAATAGGCTTGAAGGTTAAGATCTCTGTGAAAGTGTGACCTGCAGAGAGGAAGACAAGGCAGGATTCTGATCAATAAAGCATACCAGCTCATGCCGTCTTATCCCCTTTCCCAATCCCTCTGAAATTACAGCCGGTGTACTGATTTCATCGGCTTCTTTAGTTATTGAACAGCGCAGGACCCCTGAATAGAATACGATCCTGGTATCTCGGTCGCTTAAGGAGAAAAGTCTTTCTATCCATTTAGCCTTTCTTACGTTTCCACTGATCCAAGGTGAGATCTGTGTTGTCGAGCGAGTGGTCGTACGGCTGAGCCTCGGTCTCCTCTTCCGGTTCCCGAAACTCAGAGAAGTAGGGCAGCGTGAGAGCCTCGGCAGCGGTCACCCGTCTCTCTGGATCCAGCAGAAGCATGCGCTCCAGCACGGACACGGCTGTGGGCAGAAGGCAAACAGCATGAGAAAAGGCCTGGACATAAGTTTGACAGACAAACTCCAGACACGGCGAGCGGCTCTTGGCGTCTTACCTTGTGGATTACTGGTGAAAATCACCTTCTGAAGGTCTTTCTTTTCAACTTTTGGCAGACTTTTGATGTAGTTTTTAGCCTGGGAGAAAAAAACATGGAATATACGGCAACACAGACGAGACACGCACATCCGCTTCCTCAAAAGCTCAAAGACACACCCCATGATTTTTTTATACAGAGCCAAAAGAATGCTTTCAGTTGCAGAAAAAAGAAGAATTCAGCATTAAAGTCTTTTTTTTGTTGTGAAATTCAACTCACATCCTCAGATTCAAGTTTGGACATAAATTCCTGAGTTGGTGTTCCAGTGAGCTTCATGATTTCATTCAGCTGATCTAGATCTGAGGTGAACAGGTCAAGGTGCAAAGAGGTAAAAAAAGAAAAAAGAAAAAGTACAACACGTTGTCGCTGCAAAAAACAGAAAAAACGATATTCCTCATTTTTTCGACTGTAACGTACGAAGAGTTCAAAGGATACGATCACTGCCTTTGAAAAGTGGTTTTCCTTGCAGCATCTCTGCCATAATGCAGCCCACTGACCAAATGTCCACTGAGGAGACACAAATATAGCAGATAAAGATCATGAATACATTGTGGGCTTTTGACCAGACACATTAGATGCAGGAACTTCAAAACCAAGTGACACCTATGATGTTTAGAGAGCACCACCTGGTGGAAAATAATGCTTATAAGATTTTCTGAACCCCTTCTGCCAGTTAAGTTGTAGTTATATGTATTTTTACTAAATATTTCAAATATGGATCTAACCTAAAATGTATTGGTGTTATGAACTCATTACACCTCTGATTCATTATTCCATCATGTTCCAGTAACTGAAAAACTAAAATGTCTACAGAAGTATTTTTGTGCTCTAAAAGCTACAGGGGGATAAAGTCGTGTTTTTCTCTGCAAATATCTTCAACCGAGTGAACAAGCTTCAGGCTTTTCCAAGGAAAGCAACAAGTTATGTCTTGTTCTCCGCAGGTTTTAAAGGTCAAACTGTAAAATGCTGTAAATTTGAGGCTGAAAGAGAAGCCTTGAGGGAGGGGCGAGTGCATACGCGGAAGCAAAGCTACACACAAACCCAAATAAGAGGAATAGTCATGGAGATAGCTGAAAGTGGCCCATTGATGGTCAAAATGGATCATGCTGTGAAAACGTTTAGATTTTACTCGTGGTTTTTAAGATCTTACAAAGATTAAGTGAAAGATGGAAGCGAGACTCAGGGTTTCTCCTCTTTTCCGTGTGTTAAAGAGTGTTTCCGCTGGGCTTACCGGTCTGAGTGTAGTGCATCCAGCTCAGGATGACCTCTGGGGCTCTGTACCAGCGAGTCACCACGTATCCCGTCATCTCGCTGTCCGCCTGCCGCGCCAAACCAAAGTCCAGGATCTGACCGGACACACAAAAACACACCGACACGACTCCAGACACTTTCAATTAAAGACGCGGCGGGTGGAGTTCGGAGACAACGCTGAGCGCATACGTACCTTGAGCTCACAGTCTTGGTTGATTGCAAGATTTCCTGGTTTGAGGTCCTGAAAAAAAATCATTGCAAGAAAAACATAAACGATCCTGGAGAGGAAGCAAGCATGCCTCATATGATGAATTAAAAACGATGATGTTTTTTTTGTTTGTTTCACACATAGAATACAAACGAAACTTACCCTGTGAATAATCCCGGCAGAATGGATATACTGCAGTAAAGAAATAGAACGGGTTATATCCACTGAACAACTAAACAAAAGAACTCGATATTAACTGCTATCCAAGCAGGCCTCTGCACCTTAAGCCCTTTGAGTATCTGATAAACCAAATACTGGATCTTCTCCTCCGACAGCCTCTGCAGCTTCATCAGCTTCCCCAGGTCCGTCCCCATGAACGGCATCACCAGATAACTACAAAAACAAGACAGGCCTCCGGTCATCAAGACGGTACGGCTTGCTCTCAGGGGATGGAAAGCCGTTTTAAAACCAGCAGAAAAGCACTTACAAATCATGGAATCTGTCCAACGAGAGGTCTGCGGTGAACACATCCAACAGGCCGATGACCTGCACGAGAAAGAACACGTACTGATTTCGTTTATCCAAGTGGAAAACACCCGCGAGATATCCACCGATGTCAAAACAGAACTCTTTGGGCTTGGGACACCGGTCGGTTTGGGACTCACGTTCTCGTGTTTCATGTGTTTCAGAAGCCTCAGCTCCCTGTACGCTCGCTTTGCGAAGATCTCAGACTGGAAAGGTCTGTAGAGCTTCTTTATGGCAACCTTTGCTCCTGACCTGGAGTCCATGGCTGAGCTGAAGGAATGAGGAAAAACATAATTAACTGCATCAGAACTAAAAAGGAGGAAACAGCCTATAGAGGCAGAACTTCCCAGTTACGGAGGAATTTACAGGTGTGTGAAACCACAGTTCTGGTTTGTGGCTGTTTAGCTGAAATGCAACTTTGTGAGCCATTTTGTCTTTTTTTAGTTGCGTTTTTCTGTTTCCTCTAATCATCCAACCCCAGTCGCCTACGGGGTTATCTATTTCTTCCGTTTTGGTCACAATTTTGTTTCCAAGAGTTGTTCGTGTGTTATTAAGCTGTGCTCAGTCAGTCAGAGCAGCTTAGAGCCCGCCCAGGGAGTTAATCATTGATAACAAAGAGGGGTCGCATGCTGCGAGACGCACAAAGGTGCTTGACAGGCAGCTTCTCTTTTGTTGTGCGTTCGGTAAACTTGGTTGAGCGCGGCAAGGCTATTTCACCCCCGAATGCGCGCAATAAAAAATAAAAAAAATTGGCCGCGAGTGTGGCGGATGACTGAGAGTTTGTCGGGATGATTGCGAAGAGAAGCGCGGCGGAGGCCGGTGCGAGAGTCTCCATCAAATCAGGAAGTGAAGCAGCATGTGTTCAGAAAGGCTCGGGTACTTTTTCTTTTGTTTGGCGCACGGAGCGGCTGATGGCACGGCACCATCTGTTCCGTGGCTCTCTTTGTTGGGAGAGCTACTACTCCCTCCCCCCCTTCCACCTCCTCAGCATGGAAACCAGAGTCCCAGCTTTTTCTTCCAGTCGGCGGATTTTCACTCACCAGACCGTCCCGTAGGCTCCCGTCCCCACCTGCCTCAGGTCCCGGTACCGCTCCGGTACCTCCCACGAGGTTTTGTTAACGTCCTGCCGGTAGTAGCCGGGCCTGACCCGAGAAGTCATCCTGGTAATGAAGTACTTAAAAAAAGACGTGTTTCAGAGTCTCCTCTTTGATCCTTTGGTCTCTTCCGGGGCTACGCACCCATTGTCCCAGATCCCACCTATGCGCTCTGCCGCGATCGTTACGCAGCTCCGCGCAGGGCGCACCCTGAGACCGCCACAAGCCACTCCCGGGCCCATCAGGGAGCCAATAATTAAAGGTGAAGGGGGAAGATCGAATCCTAAACCACAATCGGTCAACGTTGTCACTTTAAAAACGAGCGGGTTTGCGGGACATGTGACTAATGAAGTGCGCCCAAATAAATACATAGAAGTTCTCCGCCACTGGTGAGAAATCTGGCAGTTAGGTTGATGGTGTTTTGTTAGTGAGAAACATATGTTGGACTTGTTAAGACTCGCCGGTTTTACTGGCGCCTTCAGGTGTAAAAGCAGCCACGTCCGTGCCTTTAGAAACAATCCTGACTGAAGGGTATGAAGGAAAGTGAGTAATGAAGGTTTAGGAGGACCGTCTGGTTCCAGTGTGTTAAACAATGGTAAATTAGCAGCATTTACTGTGAAATAAGTACGTGGAAATGCCAGCTTCAGCAGGAAATCATCTGACATAACAGAAAGAAAAGACATTCTATTAAAAGCTCAGTTTATTGGAAATATTAAGGCTATAAACAAACAAGCTCAAAATAACAAACTTGGATTTGATAACTTTTCTGTGGTTTGTATCCTTTGACAGAGCTTTGCTAAACCAGATTTATCATACATGAAGCTGTGGTGGGTTATTATCTGCAATAAGAGGCTGTTGCTGTTTAAATCGATTCACAGTCAAGCTTTTTTCTTTCCCTTTAAACCAAAACGTGAGAACACGCCTCTTTTTCCCCAGTTACTCAACAGGAGTCTAATCTCACCTCTAGATCTTTCACTCTTCACGTAGCTGGGCTGAACAAACACACTGGTTAATAACAAAAAAATGTCAAATATGCAAACAGTAGTGATTATGAGGTGGTGCTACGACAGTGTCATCTATTAACGAAGAATTTATTGTGCGTGCTTGTGTACGGCGGCTCCTGGAATCAGGTACAACCACTCTCACTGACATACAGAAGATTACTACCTCCTCACGCAAACCGGCTTCATACATTCACATCATTTGGTTTAAGACGAGGCGGCACCACACGGGTCCTCAAAGGCAGACAGGTCGTGGCAGGACTTGTTGTCTGACTCATCATTAATAGCCAAAGTGACAGCAAGCAGACGGGGAGGAGGCTTTTTTTCCCCCCTCGGGTACATTTCATTTTGATTTAAACTGCATAAGTGATCCAATCTTTTGCCTGTCACTCGGGGCTTCTCGTAGGTGGGTCCGTCCACAGAAGTGACTCAGCAAATCCCTCATCTATGAGAGTCATGACCGTTTGACTTTTGAGAACTTTCAAACTTCCCGTTTAAAGTCAAAACCCTCGAACAGAGGAGGAAACGCGTCTGCTGAGCACCTCCCGTCTGCTTAGTGTCTTTCGGCTCCCCGTGAAGCGCCGCTCTTAACGCCAGCTCCCCTGATGCCGCCCCGAAAAGGAGCTCAGAGAGTGTGACAGTGCGGGAAAGAAAGGAGGAGGATACCAAGAGGTAAAAAAAGCAGCGAAACAGAATCACTGTCGAACTCTCTGGGCTCATTCGGACGAGACGGCGGGCAATCAGGGGAGCGATTACGAAGATCATGTGACGCAGATCTTCTGGGCCCAGGCGGGCGGTCTGCTGTCGTAGGGCACGGGGTCTCTGCTGGACGAGGCCTCGGGCAGCGGCTCCTCTCCTTCCTCCCTCTCTCCCTGCGCGGCCGTCCCGCGGCCGCCGAACCACGCCGGGAGCTCCAGGCCCGGCTGGGAGGAGAAGGGTCTCTCCAAAACCTTGAGGACCTGCTGGACCTGCGGGACAGTGGGGGAAGAGGCGGCGGGTCAGCCGGAGAGCAGAAGCCTGACCGGTAGAACGCCTCCATCCTCTTTTGCCGTTTTCGAAAGGTCGGGAGGGGGGCCGGGTGGAAGGAAGGAAACTGACCTCGGAAAAGTCCCCGTTCTCGGCGGCCTCTATTGCATTCTGGGCAATGTAGTTCCGGAGCACCACGCGGGGGTTGGTGGCGTCCATCACCCTGAGCCGCTCCTCCTGCGCAGCCTGCGCGTCGCTCTCGCCCTCCAGCTCATGAGCCAGACGTTTCCTGTGGTTTGGATAAGGAAAAACACTCGGAGTTACAGTAAAGGGACTTTATCAGCCACAGCACACCGTTTCCTCCCATCTCTCCCCGCCCACCCCCATTATCAGTCACACTTCCACCCATCACTGTACACAGCAAGGAGGAAAAAAAAGAGGCTCAAAAGAAAACAGAAAAGAAAAAAAACACCCCCACACACACACATTTGCCACTAGAGGTTTTTTCTTGCCGGATGCACATAAAAGTTTCACCGGTAGCGTTTGATCCAGGACGTCCAGTCCTCAGCCTGTCTGGCCTTCAGCTCCTCCTGGCTGCTCTCCATCAGGTCCTTCAGCTTGCTGAGTCTCTCCAACTGCCTCGCTATCGTCACTCGGTCTGAGATCATCTGGAACAGCGCCGGGTTGCTCTGAGCCATAGAGAGCAGCATTGCCAGCTCCCTGCCATCACAAAGCACATCTGTCACTGAGGCTGTTGGTGGGATGGAGAAATCATACAACAAAACGATTTCCCTGAAGGAATTAGATGAGAAGGAATGTATGCAACAACAAAAAAAGACCAAGACAGCCAGATTTACATTTATATATGATGCCTTTCAGATTACTTCGGAATCAGAATCAGAAATACTTTAATAATTGCAGAGGGAAATTATTTGGGGGTATGTTCTACTATTTTGTCACGTCAAAAAACAAAACCAAAACATGACCTTTTTGCTTCTACAATGATATAAATGAGCACTTCAGTGCCTTTTAACTGTTTCAGTCGCTGTTCAAGTGCTCCTGCTGCAGGTATACAACACTACTAGGTTTGGGTTTCAGAACCTTTTTTTTTTTTTACACCCAAACTTTCATGTTCCTTTTAAAAAAATTGTAAATGTCTGACAAAAAATAGAATTTAGATTAAGGGGAAAAAAGTGCAGTGTGAGTATTTTTGAAGTGTAATAAGAATAAAGGTAATTATGTCCATCAACACTGTTAACATCTTTAAACTGTTATTCTTTCCTTTCCCAAAAGGTTTATAAAAGTGAAAAACCCAACATTTGCTAAACAAAATGCTTGAGGGCATAAACATACACAATTGAACATTTCCTTTTCTTCACCTTCAACAAACACTCAAAGACTAACTAGTGCCACCCAGAGGCAGAGATCTGCACTACACCAAACAATGGAAATCAGAGTTTTTTGTCCAAAGACTGGAGATAACCTCATACTAACAGGAACCAACTACAGTAGAAGTTTGGGTGAAAGGGAATTGTTGAACTGGCGGTGGGATGTGATGTCAACAGTTCCTCTAGCTGCATCCACACAGAGGTTTACGCCTGTTTTAATAATGGTAAAAGGAAACAAACCAAAACAAATTTCTAACTGTACGGAGTGGCTTTGCGGCTCACCGTGGATCCATAGTGGGCTGGTTGGCAGCCTTCAGCTCCTCTAAAGAGGCACACTGCTCAAGCAGGAGCTCCATAGCTTTTTTAACCAGTTCCTCTTCCCCCTCAGTTTCTTCTCCATTGGGACAGGAAATCTGACTCAAACTACGAAAGGTGTTGGTGAAATCAGCACCTAGAGGAGAGGAACAGAAAATACCCCAGCATTGAAGGGTTTTCATATAAAACTCCAGTGAAAGGCCAAAGGAGGAGAATCTGGCTCTCCGCTCCCACCTGTGTTGTGCATGGTCTGCAGGAGCTCAGTGATCAGCATCTCATCCTCTGGCTCCTCCTTTTTCAGCAAGCCGATCTTCTTTCTCATGTTCTCCAGGTAGAAGCGGTTGAACTGGTCCAGGTACTCGTCCAGAACAGCCTCGGCGCGCTCCGCCGGCAACTCCGGAGCAAGAGCCTCGGCCAGCTTCACCAGGTTCCACCTGCAGACGGCCGGCTGGGCCTGGTAGGAGTACCGGCCCGAGTTGTCCGACGCATTGCAAATGAAATCTGGATCAAACCTGACGGGGACGAGAAAAGTTCACACACAGATGTGCGTGGTTTTTTTATTTTCTCTCTTTTTAGACCGATGAACGTGTAACAATGCACTCAAATAGTCTGCATGAATGTAAACGTTTCTCAGGAATCTGACCTGTCCATGAAACCGTATGGCCCATAATCCAGCGTGAGCCCCAAGATGCTCATGTTGTCGGTGTTCAGGACTCCGTGACAGAATCCTACACACTGCCACTGAGCCACGAGCCGAGCCGTACGGTGCACCACCTGCACACAGGGGGAGAAGACAGCATGGGGCCCCATCTCCGTACATGGAACTGAAAGCAAATCAAATGGACCTGATCCCTAGTTGAAAACTTTAATCTTATTGGAGGAGAGCGCAATGACTCAGCAAATACAGCCGATTAACAATCTAACATTATCCACTAATAATTTCAGTGGTCTAGTCTAAAATGTGGTCATCTAACTAAAACCTTTGGTCTGCTGCAGTTACAATGCCATTTTATTAGGTTTTATTTGAATGTTTACTACATGGGAGCGTGTGGCACACGTTGACTCTGACCTCTCTGAAGAAGGCCACGTTCCTCTCTACACGATCTGGGTAGTTCTGCTGGATCTCGGGGTAGAACGTCTCAATGACGTAGTCCATCATCTGACCTCGGATCTCGTCGCGCCCGTAGCTGGGACCCTGGCGGCCTGTGAGCTCATCGGCTTGCTTGAATATCTCGAAGGACCCGAACCTGCAGGGGGGGACAGTGCGTAACTCCAGGTAAATCACCTACGGAGGGGTTCTCACAGATGAATCCCGGGCGAGGTGCACTCACCTGAGGAAAGTGGGAGCGATGCGGAGGACCACCGAACACTTCTCGTGGCGCGGGTTCCCGCTGTAGTACACATCTCGAATCACCCTGCTGTCAGACGTGACCACGGAGCCTGCTCTGGTGGTGGGCACACCGAGGAAGAACATCGCCTCGCTGCACAGGAACTCTCTTATGCTGGAGCGCAGGACCTTACGGCCATCAGCTTGTCTGAAAGAGACAACTTTATAATCCACACCTGCCAGCCAAAGCTAAGCTCAAACTGCATGTTGTAGCAGGAACAGATCAAATAAAAACACCAGGGTCGAAATAAAAGCACCCCCGTTACCTAGAATAGGGGGTCAGTCCAGCTCCTTTCACTTGGATCTCCCACCGGCCGCTCGGGTTTTCCCGGAGCAGCTCGGGATCTTGGCCGGGCGGAGCCTTCACCTCTCCCAGGTAGCAGGCTGCCCCGTCGCCCAGCTGCCCCGCGAACTGGCCGAACTGGTGGCCGCAGTAGCAGTGGGCCGCCGGCTCGGACCCCGGCATGACTTTGGACCCGCTCAGATACTCGGGCGCGAGGGAGTCGTCCACGACCTCCTGTCCGTCGAGCCCCAGCAGCGCCAGGGCCCCGCGCGACACCGCCACGAGCCGGGGCTTCGTCAGCGGCTGAGGTCTCACGCGCGAGAAGCACGCGCCCTTCACCTGACGAACCCCCGGTTCCTCGGACGCGTCCACGGGAAGTCTCTTGAGAACGACGTTTTCGAAGTCGAGCCGCTCTAAAGGAGAACGACTCGTTGCCGAACCCATTGCGTCCATCCCGACTGAGCCGAGAAATCCGAACACGGACACACGGGGCAGAAATAGGCGTGACGGTCCCAGGCGAGGCCTTAAGTAAGCCATCCAAACCAGGCCATCCGCCTCTCGGACTACTCTGGCGTAGTTAGAGTGTTACTGTCTCTAATCGGCCTTTCATAACGCCCCATGCCACAGCGGATGTTTGGAACACACCGCAAGGTGTTACACTATCAATCGTCCGACTGGAAACAAACTACAGAAGTCGAAATATGTAAGCCATAACTGATATTTAATAGATAAAAAGATATTCAAATATAGATAATTTATCCCCCTCATTATCTTACCATGTTTACAGTTCTTAAACAAGCGAATAATCGGGCTAAACATTCTTTTAGTCAAAAATATGTTTTAACTTAATATAGTTTTTTTTATAAACCACAGCTGAATCAACACTCAGCGTTTGGTACCTTTACAATGACAATGCAAGACAAGAAATCCGGAAAAGAGGTTTCACAACAAATACAGGCATTCCTACAGTGTTCTTGGGAGTTATCAAACATACAGTAGGTAGGAAATTATGAAGGATGGAGACAGACACAACATCAGATTCTGCACTAGGCAGCAAAACAACAGTCTACATCTGACCTTAACATCATCCTTCATATATTATAGAGAATCTATTCATTAACTGGAAGACATGTTTTTAACATAGCTCCGAGTATGGATAGCTGGCACATGGTTTGATTAAGTTTTATAGATTAAATAAGGATACATATAATTCATTGGACCCTTTCACTAAGTAAAGTGATCCAAATACCTTTCTCCCCAATCACCCATTAATACAGCTATAGTAAATAAAAGACTATACACAACAGGGTAATGTACATAAATTACTCAGAACGTCCTGGGAATTGGTAGACACATAGCTTTGTAACCATGCAATTGTCTTCCTCAGACAATTTATCTTGCTATATCCTTTTATGGCATACTGTAGTTTTCATCAAGTCATACCCTCTTTTTACTCATGCGCAAAAAAAAGTCATTAAAGTAGATACAGCTTGTGTTGTGATAATCTTCAGCAGGAGGCGATCTGAGCGTCAAAAGGCAGCAGTGATTTCAAAGTAAGGCTTAATCTCCCAGTTTCCCCTTAATATTTCCTTTTACTTGAGTCTAGGCATAACAACTCATCATCATGTAGAATCCTCTGAAGTCGGGGTCAATGCATGTGAGCACGAGCCAGAAACACCACAGTCTTCTCTGGCTCAAAAAAATGAGCTGAGGCACAGTGGCGATCTGTTCTGTGGCCAGACAAACATTAAATTCTTTGAGAAAATCAAAAAAGATTTCTTCCTCCAGAACACACACACAAAAATGTTTTTCTCAGTACTCTGTTCAAAAGCCAGCATCTCTGATGGGAATGGGGCTCCTTAGTACCCAAAGATGAGTGCACATTCACAAAGGCATATGCAGGTTTTAGTGCAACATATGCTTCTATCTTGCATTATGACTTCATTGAAGATGGACTTGCATATTTCAACAAGATCTGTTAGTCTGCCAGTCTGTTAAAACGGCTTGGCTTTGAGTCCTGGTTCTTCACCCAAGAACATTTGGTACATCATGAACACAAAACCCAGGACAGTGGAGCAGCTATGCTTAATTATCCTTTAAGTGGATGGGATATTTGCTTGTCAAAGGTCAGGCTACGGTTTCTACATGTCCTGGAAGTTTACCAGCTGCTGTTAGGAGAAACAGCTATGCTACACAGAGCTAAACGCAGCTCCATCCAAACTCAAGTTGCTTAAACTCAAACTTAAGTTGAGCTAAAAAAATTGAACGCAGCGTTAAAATGTCCCATTTCTTCAAAGTGATTGAAATATTGATTAATGAAATGTTGGAATCACTGGAATCTATTTTTACAAGCATTTCATTGTGTTTTTTTCTTTCTTTAACTTAGGGCTGAATTCTGAAAATTAAAGCACAGGAAAAAACCTGGTGTGCTTGCTTACAGGTGGATCTTGTATGATGGCATATGCAGGTATTGCAATCAGTTAAGAACTCTAACACAAAAAATAGAGAGATTAAATTTCTAGGTTGCCTCTTATTGGAGATGCAATCAACAAAACAACATTTTGCACTGGTGTTCTGAGGCGTATTCGGGTTTGGCTATAGGTCTTTCTATATAGGTCTTTCTTGGGCTTCACAATACAGGCCTCACATGTATTTGTATAAGGTATGATTTGAAGAAACTTAGATCTTTTTTGTTAAATGTGACATATTCACAAAAACTGTTGCCGCTCACTTGAGTTAAACAGTAGCCCTTCTAGCTGCAGTATGAGGCACTTTGCCGTTAACCCATTACGACCTGATATTGTATGTTTGCCTTTACCTTTCAAGTCTCATGTGACACAAGCATCACATCGGCTGTTTCATCTTTTACATTTTTGTTTCAAAATTAAAAAGATTGGAAAGGAAAAATAATTTACAATAATGCAAAGGTATTTACCTTTAAATCTTTTTTTTATTTCATGCTTAGAGTTACGAGGCTGAGGAATATAATGTTTGGGTTAACAGTTTGAAGAAAAAGGCTTGAAGCCTTTGGTCATAATGGGTTAAATTAGCCAAAGCAATCAATCATGCTTCTTATACTTATACTGTATGCAAGTTTTAAGGAGCATGCAACTACGGTATTTTAGATGGTAAATGCATAAATAATTTGGAGCATGATGGTCAGCCTTGCAGAGTTTTTTTTTTTTATTTATATGTACCTTACACCAAATCAATCATTCTGTTAATTTACTAGAAATATTAAAATTTGAATGTAATTGAATAACATATTCTTTGTTTCACTTCCACAGGATGCAAGTGTGAATCAAGACTAACTGTCTCTGATAAAGTGCTGGATTTTATGTCGTCGGCCCTTCACCAACAGTCTGGCTGGCACCAAAGTGTAGGAAGGACCTGGAGAAACTTATCTTAAATGACCAATGAGAATTCCAGTGTTGCCGTTTAAAACTGTTTCTGACTGTGTACGTGTCATTTACTGGAATGATGTGGGCGGGGGTTATAAACATAAGAGGTAAAGTTTGTAGAATATGCAACTCTTATAAAAGGTAGAATTTGAACAAAATAAACAAAAGTACTGTCATGGTTTCTTTGGCAGTACAGCCTCGCTGTGTCAGCGTGGACATCAATACAAGGTGAGGGGCTCCTCACCCCCAGAAGGTCCTTGTAGTTTAAAGTTAGGGCTGGTGAACCCATTCCTCCAGTCTCACCTCTAGTTCTTAAGGCCATTGGTGATGCATTGTTTCAGTAGATCAAAAGGTCAGAGATGGCTTAGAAAGGGCCAGTGAGGTCAAGCAGGGGGCGGTCGCAGCGTCTCTAGTAATGACTGGACTGCAGGTAAAGAGAGCATGGCTCTACCTAAACTTCCTCCGGCACGGTAGCAGGCATATCCGAGCATTCCCATCATGACGCCTTTTATCACAGCGCGCAGCACCCAGCTGAAACGTGAGGGGGGTGCAACTCTGAGAAAGACACAGACAGTTAGTGGAACCCATGCATTTCTAACACACTTAAACATCATGTGCCCAGAGTCCTTTGTTCACCATATCCAGACTTTACCGGAATCATACCTCATGATTTCATTTATGTTGAGTTCCTTCTCCCAATTCCGTTCAATGCCAGGGACATGACCCATTCCCACGACTCCCACCACCACAGCAGGCACTTCTACAGAGTAAAACATCAGATATTCAGTGAAATGCCCAATCTACAGCCTCTGCCTACAACCACAGGTTTTCTGTTGTGGGACAGAGAAATATAGCAATTTAAAATCAAAATGGAACAGAAAAAAAGGGAAGGTTTTGTTTTTTTGAAAAAGAGGTGACACTATGCATTATTGTAATATGAAGTATTAAGTAAAAAGTATTTAAAGACATATGATGGAGAATTTCCATTCAAACCACAGTCTTTACAGGACAACATAGACTTCAGGACACAACACACTCTAAGACACCAATAAATAAAAGAAGCTTCACTGACTGCAGCTTTTTTAAATGTAAAATTAGTGCAAATAATTCAATTCGATGTTAACAAGACCGGTACATTTCAAACCACAGACATTAACTTAGTGTGCAAATATGTTAATTAAAAAAGAAAGGATGAAATCAAAACAATGTTGTTTGTGTAACTACTTGCTTGTTGAGTGGTGTAATACATACTCTGGGCACTAGAGGGGGCCTCCACACAGCGTGTAGCCTGGCGGAGCTCGTGTGTGAGGTAGATGTCTCTTTCAGCCACGATGGTTTGGTGAAGAGCAGGAAACTCACCAATCATCTCTGACATGGTTTGTTCCAGCAAGTCCTTCTGTTTGCACTTTTCCACGTCCTCTTTACTGAAACATGTAAACATTTTATCAATGCTCACAGGAAGTCACAGGATGAGGAAGAAATTTCTCTTTAGTGTGCACATGCTGTAATTCAGTTACAGTATTTATAGAAAAAAAACAGCAGTGCCAAACAGCTGATATTCAAAGAGACACTTGTCAAAGTTTATGAGTAAAGTATGACACATCACACCTGATAGGATCTGACAAAAAGCAGAGACCCCAGGCTAAGCGAGCCTTCTGCCACAGACTTAGAGCAGCTATGGCTCTTTTGAACGTCACTGGGATCGGTCTGTCTCCCAGCTGAAATTTACAAAATGGTACCCGTCCGGCCTGTTTGAGAATAAATAACACAGTTTAAAAAGAAAAGGTAAGAGACAGCAAGACAAGCACAACAAAGTAAACATGAGACCTCTCCCCTTTTTTCATTGAATGACCTACTTCTTTGAAGGCTTCCCTAAACTCTCCTCCGGGTGCCATTCCCAGTTGCTCTGTGATGTGAGCTGAAACTTTAAGCAGGAGAATCTGCATCAGGCCAGACATCAGCCCATTCTAGCAAAAGAAGGAATAAACAGAGTATCCATAGAGGTTATTCATTACATGCCCTTAGGAAGCCACTGAATGTTGTATTTGAACTGTTAGAAAAAATCTTTAAAAGACTAAGAGAAACCTAAAAGAGAAACAAAACTTTGAATGACTCAGCCAACATGTTTTCTGTTTGGGGGAAAATCCGAAGAAGATCAACACTGGTCGTTTTGGTTACCCCTGAATTAAAATGATATGTATTTTTCTATTAACTGTGGCTCCATCCTACAATCTTTATTACAGTAAAACATCACAACAAAGTATTCCTATTTGGATTATAGTCGTGGATATACAGTCGCATTCCACTGTGACCCTTTCTATTAAATATTCTTCTTTCTTTTCTACTTTATCAGCTCTGGCTGTTTCTCAAACCAGCGCCACCATTATGTTCCTAACCTGCTTGATGGCTTGCTGAACCTTATCCAGGTTGATGTCTTTGGCTTCCTTGAGCAAGGTATTCTCATCCATCCTCAACATTGACACTCTGTACTGGCACAGCTCCACCACCACCACATCCGGCTGCACAGCGCGGATCGTCTGCATGACGGAAACAAAGGATGCGAATGAAAACTGAGACAGAGTAAAAGATTGTCACTTTGAAATAAATGGCAAATGTAGGGTACACTACAGAATGAAATAATTAGGAAAGAAATCAACGTGGAGCAAACCAGACGTGTTAATGGTTGAAAACACGTACTAAACTGATCCTTTATTGTGTTGGTCGTCATCAGTGCTATGTTACGACACAATTTCACAGTATGTCACAATTTTAAAAGGGTGTGAAGATCTTTTCACACAACCATGATGCTGCTGTATTTTCCCTTCCTCCCTCGGCCGCCTCACTGGCTCACCATGGCTACGTCCTTTTTGCTGCTGTCACTGAAATGGGCAGTGCCCACCAGGTACAGCAGACTGCCATCAGGGGCAGCGAGACGGGTCACTGTCTCTGGGAGCTGAGGAGACGACTGGCGGCGCTGGGCTCGTAACTGCCATAGCATCTCCATCGCTTCTCCATCAGCTAAAGAAAGAGAGCAGAGAAAAATAAACAAAAAAACTATTTCAGGAGAACAATGGTGGCTGGAGTAACATCTTAACCACTACGACTTAGTGTGGGAACAATTTTACACAAACTTTCAGTTATGCCTCTGCTGGAGTTGGGAATAAAAGGGTGTAGCAGTGGACTATCATTAAATGCCCCCAAATTACCCCCACAGATTGATACTACATAATGATAAAAGCACTGGGAAAAAAATTAGAGGAAAACAGTTTAATTCTGGGATTATGAAGGAATTGATTAAATTGGGAAAATATGGTGTTTATGGGTATTTTTCAATCACTATTTTTATTGCTAACATATTTATTATTATACTTTGGTTTAGTCTTATTGTCATAGGTGTCATTTATCGAACATGATGATTTCAGCTAACCTAAACATGCAAAAGAGCTAGAAAATTAGCATTTAGGCAAGGCTGAACGCACACAGATAAAAACAAATTTAAATACAAAACAAAGTGAAGGTGTAATGGAATGCTTTATAGTCATTGGGTGTTGTAATTCTAGCAAAACTATTCTACTAGTACGACTCAAGTCACATATGTCAAAATAAATTAAAGGTCTACAAAACACTGACAGTCGAAATTCAATTCTTATTTTCATTAGGGAAAAAAGCATTATACACGTTTTTTTAAAAGGAAGTGCAACATGCATCTTGTGAAATGAAGACACATATTTCAAGAAAACACATTAAAATAAAAGAGAAAACAAAGAAGAAAGAAAATTAAACAACAGCTTACCAAGCCCTGGGGGTATACAGGGCAGCTCCTCTTCAGCGAGATCCTCTGCCGGCCCAACTGACTCATCCTGACAAACATCAAAAACAGTAAACACCTAAGTCATGTCTGCCTCTGAAAGAGATTAGGAGCTGATTCCTGTCAAAGCCTCACGGTTGAGAAAGATGGGGTAATAGTGGAGAATTTGTGATTGAGAAAGAACTACAGAGGGGTTAGCATCGAAGCAGCAGGCTGCATTACTCTAAAACATACTTCTTCACAGTCTTTTTCCTCACCTCTGAATTGTTGTCTTGGTCCATGCTTGAAGTACTGAAAGCTGTGAGCGAAAGACAGCAGAGTGAAGACTGGCTCACACAGGGCAGCCGAGAGAGAGTACAGACCGAGTGAGCAGTGAGGCGTTCACTGACAGCTCGACACTCAACGACTGCTGACGTTGCTTTATGGGCTACACTGGCAGCTGCTTACTTGTCCCAGTGTGTTTTAAAAAAAAACTTAAAACTCAGTTAATAATTGCTGATTAAATGATTGTTGAAAGTAGATAGTGATTTTCTATTGAAAAAAAAGATGGTTGGATCTGACTGTACCTTAGCTTTGCGTGTAATGGTTAGTGCGACTGAAAGCGGAGAAAGAAATTTAATTGTAGGGTGAAGATCTAAATAAAAACAAAGTAAACGTCAATTTGAGCGATGGGACACGTTAAAAATGTTGTCACTGAGTACTACATGGCTTAGCTAGCTTCCAGTGGATACTGTAACAGCTAACTCTGGCTAATGATAGCTAGCAAGTTCGACTGGAATTAAAATTGTTTAAATGTACATAAAATTCATACAAAATGATTTAATCATACATTTAGCCATTCTGTAATACAACTTATCAAACAACAGAGGTAATAGTTGTCCAAAGACAAGTGTGTTTTACTTACAAAGCCAGCCCGTCTGTTAGACTGCACCCGGGTACAGCACACCACTGCTCGGCACACACTGACAGCTGCGGTGCATCCTGGTACATGTAGTCACTTATTACCAGGACGCTCACACTAAGTTTCGTAAAAAAAATTAGTAAGGAATTAGTAAGGAAAAAGTTTTTCTTTTATTTAGCTTTCATTGAAACATTTCACAGATTACAATGAATCTCTGGACTTTGCGTGTCAAAGATGTATCTCTGCAACGGCCTTTAAAGTGAAAATCAACACAGAAACTGAGTTTTTAACAGAGCTATGTTGCTAACATGCTCTCACACTCACTAGTGCTACTAGTCATAAAGTGCTTGTGGATGCATTTAGTGTGCTTGAGTAGATTAACAAGGGGATTTGGAGCCAGCCTTTGCAAATACATAATTTGCAACAGTAAAGTGGCTGAAGTGGAGAAGTGCTACTTCCCATTATAAGCAATGATATATGATTTCCTTAATGCCCAGAAGAAAACAATTTGATTCAAGATTAAAATGCATATGCCGGAACGTATGCTGCATGTCTGTCCTTTTACAAAAATGTTGTTTAAAGCAGTTGTCACATTGATGCATTCATAAGTACAAACAGTTCTTAATTGAAGTTCCTGTAATGTATGTAGCTGCAAATATTGCATATGGAGCAGTTGTGGTAGGCATTTACCCCTTGCTCACCGTCTCATTTCCTGTAAAAAAAAAAAAAAAAAAAAGGAAACCATACCTTAGAGTATAAGCCTGGGTTTCATTCAACTATCAGAGCAACTGGTTTAACTACAAATTCTTTGAATATTTGCAGGAAATAATGTAGATAATTTCAGATCATCAGGTGATCAAAAACGCCTATTTGTTGCGTAATCAACCTTTGAGAAATTAACAGTTAATCAGATACCTGTCTACTCATTCAAGACACCCGTCCCTAAACAAGTCAGATAAATGCTTATTTATCTGAGTCCAGCCTCTTTCAAAAGTAATAAGAATGCATCTGCATTTACTTAATTAACAAATATACTGTCTTATCAGTTACATCTGAAACTTTATCTGAGCAATGTTGGAGTTTTACTTAGTTTAACAAATATGAAATGAGCCAATTTATCAATATTAATGAAGTGCATGTATAGTAAAGTTGTAATGGTGATATGGTAACTATAAGCATTAAATGTGATACATTTTAAACACTCCACAAACACTGAGTCATATACAGTGTGTCTACATGTGTAGCATTCTGTGAAGTATAATGCTCTAAGCGCAAACATTATTGCCACAAATATATTGGGATCTTTTGCATATCGCTTGCGCAGGTCTCAATAACTGTATTGCGTGAGCTACCTCTCTACTTGGCTATCGGGATAAAGGGACAAAGCGCAATCGTTTCTTTAAAATACATTTTGTTTAAAGTAATAATGCCATCCTCTTCGTACATAGGCATGTTTAAGCTGGCAGACTTTTTTAATACCAGAAAGCTCATTCATTTTTCTCTCTTCAGCCTTTTTTTGTGTTGCTGTTTGACCCTGCAATGTAGCACCCTGTTGAATTATATCACTGCTGGTTTCATTTGTGGGCAATCAGCTAAACACAGTCATCCTGAGACGTAGTGACATAGGTTTGACATCGTTTCCTACAACAACAAGTTAGTCAACACCAGCAAATCCACATATGCTATGCACATTGTCTGAAACCACGCTTGAAGTTTTTTTTTTTACATCTACATTATGTTGCACATTTCTCCATTTCTGCTTGAAAGTCAGCTCAATATAGAAGAAGTATGTGAGTTAATTCAAAGTGAAGAAAGGGCAGCTGTTGGGGAAATGCAGTTGACATTGTGGTGATGATTGTGATGAGCAGAAGATAATCACACATTCCTTCATCTTCAACATTCCCCTGCAGCAATGAGCTCCCCGGGTCTCTCTGCAAGCCTGTCCCTTCTGTTCTCTTCATCTTCCTCTTCTTCAAAGAGTGTATGACGTATGCTTAGTAATTGGTGTGTGGGTGCTCTGGTTAGGGGTGGAGGTTGTGACTCAAGGCTCTCCGTTTGGGCAAGAGGCTCTGGTTGTGGAGGAGAGGGTTTCGGACTGAGTGGGTCCTCGCTGGAGGGAGGATTTGGACTCACCCCGTTTACATATGTAGTTGTGGGCAGAGTCACTGTATTAAAGGCAGTGTTGGTTGATTCTGGAGAGCAAACCTTAGTTTCTATAAATACAAGAATACAGTAGTGGAGAAAAATAAAAAGTCAAAACATAACACGCAAAAACAAATGGAAGGTACTGTCTTCTAACTTAGCCACAGAGAAGATATTGAGCAATATTTAATTTTAGCACAGCTGAATTCAATAGGATGGGATCATTTGTAATTAGGAAGTTAATCAGGCTTACCTGTAATTGCACCAGACACATGAACAATAGTGTGTGTGCCTTCTAGATAAACTGTATCCATGTTGTGCTCTGAGGGTAGGGGTTCTGTGGTTACGGCCTCCACTTTAGGCTTACGAATTGTCAGCATATATGGGTGAACATCCAGGGAGAAGTTGCGTGCATGCTTCTTCTCTATCCCCCCAATCTCTGTAAACACAAGGATGTAGGATGTTACAGCAATGCTGATCACATGTGAAAACTGATGTCAGGCTTCTTGTAATGATTTTTTGGTCATAAGATTATCAGAATCCTTTGCAGCTATTCGCTCTATCGTTTTAAACATTGGAGGTTTTAAACGTGCGGGACGTTTTATGTGTCTTTGGTTATGTCAGATGACTTTATTAGAGTCATAGCTGAAAATTGGACCATCATACAACTTGAAAACAAACCCTGCTGACAGAAGATAAAGAAACAGGGGTCACTTTCCTACAGAACTGCCTCTGAACTAGTAAAAGTGTGGCTTGTTTTTGTGAAATGAAGGAGACAAATGAGTGTGACATGTTAGGTTTCTCCTCTCACTGTCCACAAGCGTTAATGTAAGGTTAATTGGTGGTTCTAAATTGTCCATCACAGTGAGCATGAGCACAAATGATTGTGTGGATTAGCTACCTGTTCAAGGTGCAAGCCACCTCTCTCGGCTAGGATTTCCTTCAGAAACTGTCTGAGAGGAGATAGCATCTATTTTTTACTATAACTTTCTGTTTAGTCAGGGTACTGTGTACCTTTTGATGAAGAAAGTTGTGTGCTCTTGTTATCCAGAAGAGGTGCTAAGCTGTCTGCCGCATTTTTGCGTCTGAGAGGTTTGGGTTTTTCAGCTTTGCTGTTATTTTCCAAACGTGTCGTTGCAAGGGGTTCCTGCAGTGTACAGAGGACAACACATGTGGTTATGTATTCATCTGAAGCAGAATAAGAGCTCCACATTCGATGAAAAACCTAAATGAGAGCTCTTTCCTCTCTCGCTTTTAACTTTTTTCAAGAATGCCTTATGAGTCTGTGTTGTACGTTGATCAATTCAGATTTTTTTCTCCCTCTGTTCTAATAATATTGAGACAATGCTTAATTTGAATGGGAGATGCAGAAATTGTCTAAGCCAGCTGCCTTACCTTGAACGGCTGAGGAAGAGGGTTAGAGCTCGGAATCCATTTGATCTTCTTCCGGGGCCGTTTGATGACCAGTGGCTCTCCGGGCATCTCTCCAAACCTGATGTCGGAAGGATCCATGTTGGGATCAAGTGTCTGTATCCCAGAATCCCTCACAGTGGGCGTAGCATCGTGGTTGGATTGTGCAAGTGCAGCCAACAGCTGCCTGACCACATTATCATACATAAGGTCACTCTCATTGGTGATGAAGTCCAGTCGGTTCAGTGACTTGATGTGGTCCCTGTTCTCGTTGCAGAACATGGCCAGAATGTTGATGTCACAAAACGGAGACTTCTGCCAGCGTCGTCGGGTTTTGATGCCAACTTTATGAAGTTTGTCGAATACAAAATTGGACTTGCGCACCACAAACAAGTGCAGCAAGTTGAGCAGGATGATGAAGTTCATGGTGCAGAGCAGGGCTATGTCCACCGCTGCCATGATCCGCTGCAACTGCACAGCAGGCAGCTTACAGTTGACCCTTAGCTTCAGCTCAGAGTAGCTGCTGATGTCAGGAGGCTCACCCAGCGCACAGGTGAACTCGTTCTGCCTTTGACGGGCATAGTAGGCGCTCAGGTAAGAAATGGGGATGGAGCTGAGGCAGATAATAGCCAGGTGGCGTGCCAGGTAAATCTTTGCCAGAAAGTTACTTTGGCCCCTTCTCTCCAAATATTTCTCAAACAAATTCTGCTCAGGACTCTTCTCCTTCTCTGCGTTCTCTATAATCTCCCTCCTTTCCCGCTCAGTTATGCCGGGTCCTTTGGACTGAATCTGCTTCTCGATCTTTGGTGCCCGTCCCTCAGCAGCTCGGTGATAACAGTTATCAATCTCCTGAAGGAGGAAATTGAGCTCTGAAGTAAGCCGCGTAGAGGCAAGAAATTCCCAACCCAGAGCAGGAATGTACATGATTCCAGCAAAGGCCAGCAGAGCATATGGCAGAAACTTGTGTTCAAACAGCGAAGGCCAAAGATGAGGCTCCGTCTCAGGAACAGCGTCCCGAAGCTCTGTCCAGCAGTAGCCTCTTGCATACAGTGCCTGGTCTCGGGTGAAGTTGTGCGGTGTGTAACAGTATATGGATTCCTCTGAGGGAAAGCACAGAAAGAAACGTTAAGGTCAAGTTTTTCTTGAATCATGTCTCAAAACAAAATTAAGTGTTTCACCTGAGACAAGAATGCATCCGGACATCAAATTTTCTCAGTAAGATTTTTAATCTCTGTTTCATTTTCTTGGGTTTCCGTGTGTCATTCAAATTTATCATTCTGGATATATCAGGAATTATATGTATCACTAACCTAAGCCATTGCTCTTTCTGAAAGGAGAAACATCAGCTGTACCTTTATCAAAGAGGTGAGAACAAACTAAATCAGCACTTCGCCATCAGTCATTTGCAAGTTATCAGATTTTTCAAAATAACTCATAAGACACTCAATTCTTAATGAAAGAAAGGTTATATCCCTCTCAAAACACTACTCAAATGGTTGTTGTCCAAACCGTGCATAGTTTTCATGCTACTGGTTATAAAAGATGTGGAATGGCAATACTTATTACATCACATTAGGCAAAGCACCAGTCATTCTGCTGATTTGTCTAAAAAAGTGAAAATGACCAAGCACTTAAACTATTTTGCTGCTCAAGTTAAACTCTGGGTCCCAGTTGATTAAACTCTGCAGCAGTGATGCTGAGTCAGCAATGAGCTCACATTGCTCAGAAACTTTGCTTTCTGTCTGCTGTTTAGTTCATTTTTTGTTCATGACCCCCTCGAGCAATCCGTCCCATTTCCCTCATCTAAAGGCCATCTTCCTTAATCTCTAGCATGTCTTTCCCTTTAAGCTCTTTTTTTTATGATTCCCAGGCACACTGCTCCTCTGTCCTTTTTGCCTTATTGCCTTTTTGAATTCATGCATATTCTTCTACCTCTCTGTAAAAAAGGGCATATAAGTCTCCAAAAGCCACCAGAGGTGTTTGAATTGCTGTAGATACCAAGGAAACAAATGACATATGTGCATGTAAACTCTGACACACCTTTGTTTGGGACTGCCAGAAACTCTTTAGGCCAAACAGTTGTTGGAGTTTCTTAAGAGTGACCGCCCTCTTGTGGCTGAGCATCTTACCTGCAAAGTTTCTTGTGAAGACAAGGGTGACCAGCAGGATGGGGATGATGACCGTCCCTATAGTAACGACGCGATCAAAGGGCAGCTCCAGTTTTAGCTGCACCATGAGGCCAGCCAGTGCCCCGCCCTTTTCATCCTGAGAGGAGCCCGGCAGGATAAGCTCCTTCAGCTTCTCGCCCGCGAGCAGCGCCGTGGCCATGTCTAGATTTTGATCGAGGATGTTCTGCATGCGGAAACGAGAGAATGTCTCCTACAATCCTCCTCCGCGATAGAGGTGAGACTGGATGCTCCCTGCTGTAGTTAGGTACTCGTCAAAACAATGTGATGTGCACATACATGCAGTACCGTTTGGCCAGCTTCAGCCCCGGGCACCATATGTGGGGTCAGACTGTTAGGTCTGTGTTCTGTAGAGACCAGATGTTACATGCAGCTTGATTCTTGAACAAGAGTTGACTTAACACTTAGAAGCGCAGCATTCCCCAAGCTTTGCCTATGTGCATCCCTGTGTTTTGCTTGGTTTCCTCAGAGTCTGGCTTCAGTCCACACACGCCGTGTGTGGCAGGTTGAGCAATGAGCTGGGTTTAGTAGATGTTCCTGTGCTCCACAGGGAGAGTGATTGAAGATATGCTATTCAAGCCTTGGAGAGGAGAAGCTCGGACCAGTCTTTTTCTGAAAGACAAATATCCAGTTACAAGTCACATTTTGTGCATTTTACTAAAGTACTGTACCCCG